GGGTTTAGGGTTTAGGGCTTCACCTTGCTCCTGGTATTTCCGAGGAAACCCCGGATCTCTTTGCTGCGCCTTGTGTTGCCGCGCCAGTGGGTGCTGGGCAATCGCCTCCATATGCCAGCGGAGACCAACAGCTTCCGGTCTAGTTGGCCGTTGGTTTAGGCTACTCTGCTGTCTCTTCATTCGTCCTGTGGACTCTGAAATGTCCATGGACTCCGGTTGAAGCGCTGGCAGAATCACCGATCCAGCAGAGCCCACAGCCAGACAAGATGGCTCACGGCTCAGAGTCCTAGTGGGAGAACGGAAGACCTCCAGCTCAGCGAGGAGCGGGCACGGACTCCTGGGCGCCAGGCACTGCGACGTCTTTATTAAGTACTGTATATACTCTAGAACCGGGACTACCTCTCTGGCAATATCAACGCGGAGGCCGGCAGGCAGGCGCAGGCGGGAAGGCAGAAAGGGCAGGCAGGGCAGGGCAGGCAGAACAGCAGAGTCGCAGCCCACCGCACTGCTTGCGGACGGGGTACTGCGAATCCGGATCCCGGTCATCAGCTTCAGGATCGCCAGAGGATGCAGGGCACTCCTGAACGATTGCCGTCTTGACGTCTATGAGCCTGAGACATTGGCCATGGATAACTAACAAAAGTCAGTTGAACCAATCCAACTGGACCCGATCTCCACTGAAAGCTCAATTCTGGTCCGTGCTACTGCCGACACAGCTCTGTACTCCTGCCTGCACCCAGTAGCCGTGAGCATCCAGGAAGAAAGTGCAAGGCCTCGTCTCAGGGTTGCCATGGACCCATCCGTTGTACTACTGTGGACCCCTGATACGTCCAAGCCCCCATCCTCAAATCGGGGGTCGTCAGCGACAGTGTTGCGAAACCTATACGTTAATTCTACACCCTAAACCCTCAGGCTCTCCATCAGCCTTGAAGAAAGGTGTAGGGTTTAGGGTTTAGGGTTTAGGGTTTAGGGTTTGGGGTTTCGGGTTTAGGGTTTAGGGTTTAAGAAAGGGAGGTACTGCCGGTACTGCCGAGAGGCTCGCGGAGGTCTTTGATGTGATGCCACAAGTTGCAGGAGTCGTCATGCACAACCTCTGGGGGGACTTTAGGTTCAGGGATTTCTACGCCTTACGGCTGATGGACAAAATCCTGCATGACCTTATATACCTAAACTATGGGGTTTATGGTACTATACTATATTTGGATCATGCAGGACTTTGTCCATCAACAGTATTATAACTAACTATAATCTACTAATATACTCCCTAAGCCCTATTCTAATTATTAAGGCCCCATATTCACCCTTGAACCCCGAAGCAATGCTTGTGATGCAAGGGGCTTTGGATTGAGTCTATTTCTGGGGCTTAGTTACGGTTTTAGGGCCTTCGGCTACAGGGCGCGATCGTCGTTGGACCAAGAGACGCTCCCACGTAATAGAAACACAACAAGACCTTGTATCACACACCCTGTAAGACTGTATAAAGACCCTTCAGCGATTCTTAAGACCCCGGATAAAAGAATCCTGGTAAAGCCCTACTAGACAATATCTTCTTCATCGCTTTAAGACCCCTCAGCGCCCCTATAAGAATCCTGGTAAAGCCTTACTAGTACTAGAGAATATCTTCTTCATCGCTTTCGTAGACCATCGTCGACCCCAAGCCACCTTCAGCAGCCCTGCAGCCAGTGGCAGCTTCAGCTTCTCGCGAGCCCTCTCGACGAGCTCGGCATTGACCTGTGACTGCTGCAGAGAGCACCTTGTAGGGTTTAGGGTGTAGGGTTTGGGGTTTTATGGTTTAGGGTTTGGGGTTTAGGGTTTAAGGTTTAAGGTTTAGGGTAGAGCTTATGGCTAAGGGACTACTAGAAACTCGCGGGCTCACGGTGCCCGCCAACACGATTGGGACATCTTGGAACCCCGTGAAAACCTGCTTCCTACTTGAGACTACCCTAAACCCTAAACCCTAAACCCTAAAAACTAAAAACTAAACCCTAAAGCTTCCACGAGCTGGAAGGTCAGAGAGGCAGACCCTGCGAGCCCAATACCCCTTAAATAAGGAATAGACCTTAAATTATAGGGGCCTAAATATTATGATTTAAGGTATATTCCTTAATTCAGGGGTATTGGGCTCTCTGGGGACAGCTGGCTTCGAAAACACCCGCAGGCCTCGATCGAGATCACCTGGAAAGCAAGAAACGACCCATCGCCAGACCAGCATAGCACGGAGGGTCAAACGAGCGAAGAGTTACACCGCATCACACCGTGTGGCGTTGACTATGAGCATCTGATATCCCATTGCGTGGTCTACTTCGCAAATCCATGACGCTCAAGGCTACGATGGACTGTATAGCTACTGTACTACAAGTACATTGTGCAAGACTCTGCTAGGCTGCGACGAAATTTACCGCACCTGCCGGAAGAGGCCGCTGGACAGGGCCTTCAACGCGCCCTTCAGGGTGTCGGCTTGTCAACCCCCCCTCCCCCACTACCCCTCCCGGCGCCCATAATGTTCCATGTGTGGCTTGTGCTTCAACAGGTGCTCTAAGGGTTTCGGGCTTTGGGGCTTAGCGTTTGGGGCAGCGTACGTTTCTACCACAACAAGACTCTACACTGCTGAGACATCCATCTCCTTCTTCCGTAGACAACAAATAAAGAGACAAAGAATTACTGCGGTGAGGCTAGGAGCCGAACTAACGGCCCCTGAGACCCCCATGATCTAGCTTCCATCCTCAATTCTTGTCTGCCCTCATGTGGCAATATGGGCGCTTCTTCAAGTGTGCTCTACTACAGCCATGTACTAGCTTCAACAGAGTCACATGGCTAGTTCTCTGACTTAGGGTCCCAACTTGGGCGGCACCCTTATAAACGGGACCTCAAAAGGGACCCGAATGTAGAGAAGTACCCACATTTCTTTCGTTGATTTCAATGTCAGGCCTCACCGTGAAAGAGGCCTGTCTCCACGAAGTAGGCGCTCGCCTCGTCTCAGCGGGCATAGAGCGCTTGACAGAACACCACCCTTCAGAAAACCCGCCTCGAGCCCTTTAACCCTTCGATCCTAAAAGAGCACTCATCATGAAACCTCATAGAACCTCACACATGCGCAAATGGTTTGCTGCTTAGGGCCATCATTAAGGATTTTGCTTTGGCTCTGATGAACTTCTCTTTTCGTGCATCCCTGAGCCTGAAGTCAAGCTCCCCAGTCCACCCAGAACAGTTAGGATTAAGGGGACCCTTGGGAGACCCTCTCAATAAGGTCCCGTTTAACGGAGCCGAAAGTAGGGTTAAGAAGGGTCCCCT